ACCAGTATCTAGATCCACACTGGCTTGACTAACAATCGATTGACAAGTTTTAAGTAGAATAAATTTATTCTGCCGTATCTTGAACGAAAGAATGCACATGAGATGAAAATATGGATGGTGCGTTTCAATGCAATTTGTTTTGAGATACAATTTCATATAATAGGTTAAGCTATAAACCGAATTTCTCAACGAAAGCGCTAGAAGTCATTCGTATTATTTTATATCCATGAGCCCTTAAGTTGAGGCTCATTGTTGGCTGTGAATAGTTTACAAAATAAAGTGTCATTCGAATGAAAACACTGTTTTCTACAGGATTGGATCGTATGGTGGCTCCACATCCCGGTGCACAACCGCATTCTTCGGCGCATAAAAAGAAATATCTGAAATAAAGCGTCCTACATAAATATTATCCTAGACTCTCCAATGCTTTTTCGCTTCATTCCAGACACTCCCATTTTTTCTCACGACACTTGCTATCTTTTTTACGGTTCGTGTGGGTGTGGGTGGTGTGCTCGGTTGGAAATGTTAGCGTTTTTTTCAGCTCATGACAGGATGGTAGGTTAGCTCGCTTGCCAGACAACTGATACTATAGTCAAACAGTTTCCACAGAGTTTCAAACTGAACAGCACCAAGAAAGGGACACATGGTGAGATAAAACGAATCAGTTTTATGTCGCTCTTTTTTCTTTTTACGAGAAGCTACATACATGTTTTTGGGAATGACTATAGATTGTCATCGTGCGGACGATGGAATTCATTCAATATTTGTTAACCACAATAATGGAAGATAGTAGAACTTTACCTTTTCCATTTGAGCAGCGTATCGCAATCATTTTATAATTTATATTTTATTAAATTGATTAGCTATGAAATCATATAATGACCATGAGCGGCACCGGTGGTGTAGTAGTAAGCGTGATTATCTCTCACTCCAGCAGGCTTGGGTTCATTCAGTAACATCTCTGATCACGCCGTCCTTCGGAAGGGAAGTAAAGCCGTTGGTACCCGGTTCATGAGTTGATGAGTCGATTGTAGGGTCCAGGTGTGGGAGCTGCCTCCCTGCCGTCGATAGCATTTGTGGTAAGCACGGAAAACAAATCAAGGAAAAAATATAATGACCATGATATTAAATATCAATCAAAAGAAAATTGACCTCATGAACCACCCATCAACAAACTTGATTCTATTGATATCTGGAAAGAATTAAGAAACCATACATAGAATCAAACTCTCTGTCAAACTTAGATATATCCTCAATCATATACTTTCGTTGGTAAAAACTTCACAATTTCAGCAAGATTTCTTACTATGGTAGGCGAGGATTATTTTTGCAATTGATTGTTTTTTTTTCAATAGCAATATTGAAACGTACTACCCTTTCATGACCTCTCGTCTGATTGGTTGTATAATTTTGTTCTTTTAGATTATTACTTTAAATAATTTGCATTTCAAGTTTGATTACTGGCAATTAAAAAAAAATGCTAAACAAACATCTAAAAATCACCAATTTGACATAGACACTTTTTAAATTCTGGATGTATTGATTTAGGTTTATAACAGACAGATATAAAAGTTCATGGACTTTACACAATTCAGGACTTATTTTTATTTCTATATCTTGAGGTAAGACAAATTTGTAGAATCCTGCCATTTGACAAGATGTATTCGATTCAACTTTTTGTAGTCAAAAACTGTTGAAACACATTGCTATCATTGAAAAAAAAACGCTTTCTGATAATAGACATATAACCATCGTATGTTGTTGTTTGGAACGAGGGTGACGCCCTTGGGATAGATGGCCCACAGCGACTCACGAAGAGCTACAGGATCTGATCAGTAGCGGTGCGGCTTCTTTCTCCTTCTTCAGTGAATGGACGCTCATGTGGGCTGCAGCTCTCTGCTTGCAGGCAACCTTTCGTTGTGTACTGGAGAACAATGTTCAACGCCACGCACCGAAAGCACTGTTGCTGCTGATGCTGATGACGACCAATCGGACAGCACCACCACACGGTGATTAAATAAGCACCGTTCGGCGAGACCGGATGGAATTCGATTTTGAAATCTGTGTTAGGGAAAGCGCTTTTTGCTGGTAATCAGTGACAATTTAGATCACCATTGCAAGAGTTGGAAATTTGTGTAATTTTTAATAGTGACATATTGGAAATTGATAAAGTGTTCATTTTAGTAGATTTTTAGAATTAATTTCAATCGATTGGCTTATTTAGAATAAAAATTCATCCGCTATTGACAGAGTCATAAGTGGTCAAAACCTGACCCCTTCTCATAACGCGGTCGATTTTGGTTTTTTGAAATTGCACCACCTCTATGTTGCCGAAAGATGTACTCCTATGAGAAATAAGTCGCAACTTTGAATGACATTAATCACAATGTTTAGCGAGTCCGAAATTAATCACAACTTCCTACACACTTGCCATAAGGGTTAAAATGAGGAATAATTGTTGAAAATAGTGATTATTTTACATCATGTCACCGTGAAACTTGAAAATAAAAAAAATAAATAAAAACATTGAAAGACAAACGTATTGAACTGTAGTATTGGAAGATTGGTTTGATCATAATCATTTGGCTTCATCAGCTTAGATGGTTCATGTAAGTTTTCGTGAAAGCTATTGGATTTCAAACGAATCGATCATAACCCAAAAAAGTTGCACGTGGTTCAAATTAGGTTCTTTTTAAGTATTACTTTTTCATAAAAATCCAAGTTGGAGTCGGAGTCGAAGTCGTCACTATTTCTTCACTCCGACTCCAACTCCTACGCTCAAAAATGTATCTAACTGCAACTCATCAGCCCTGGTCATATATCTATATATATAAAAATGAATTTCTGTCTGTCTGTCTGTCTGTCTGTCTGTCTGTCTGTCTGACCCTTATAGACTCGGAAACTACTGAACCGATTGGCGTGAAAATTTGTATACAGGGGTTTTTGGGGCCGTGGAAGGTTCTTATGATGGTTCGAGACCCCTCCCCCTTCTGTAAGGAGGGGCTCCCATACAAATGAAACAGAAATTTCTGCATAACTCGAGAACTAATCAAGCAAATGGAACCAAATTAGGCATGTGGGGGCGAGTGTGGGGGTATAAGGAGATAATCATAGGGGGTAGCCCCTTAGATAATAGGGGGGGGGGGCTACGTACAATATAGCATGCTTTTTTTTTAAATCGGCGCATAAGCTCAAGCTAATATTGAATCCCGAGCAAGACCGGGCACACTCAGCTAGTAGTATATAAATGAAGAACGAACGGCATCTTTTATGCGGAACTGCGGAAATATTTGTTGTAGATCGTTAAATGTACAGATCTTGACTGCTGATTGCCATTCCGTATGTATCGAGGTGATAAAAAATCTTCTTTAATTATATACATTTAGGTCCTACTCGTATCGTTCTTCATATTTTTGAAAGAAACCTTCACTGTGTGTGCATATCGCAGCAAAACCAAATCTTTCCTGTTTGTAGTTTTATGAATGGCATCTATTCTCCATACCAGTTCCTCACGTTGCTGCTAACTGCTGTCCACAGTTAAAACACCAACGCTTTCATGTTGAATGCATTGTGAATAGTGAAAGATAGAATTTAGGAGATGTTTTATAAATCTAGAACATAACACAATGAGATCTAATGAAATCATTTCGATATCATGGGAGTTCTGGGTCTTCACCTTTCTAACTTGAATTGCAAGGTAATTCTGAGCAGGGTTGTAGATTTAAAAAATAAATTCAAGCAGAATTCTGAAGAAATTATTTCAAGGGAATTCTTAGAAAAATATAAAGGCAATTTCGATGAGATCATCACAGGGAATTAAAGATAATCATTAGCAAATGCACATAAAAATGCCAAAAATAGATCAAAATTTCATGGCGAAACAACGAAAAAAAAAAAGAAAATCAGAAAACCATATTTCAAAAATTCTTTAATGGTTCTTTGGGAATTATTTGCTTGAATTTCTTTTTCTAAATTTCAAATTCTTTCTAGGCAACTGTTATAAACTTGAAATCAATTATTTTTAAGTTTGTCTTCAAAACTGTGTCCTGATAGTAAATGAGGTTTTCATAGTATTGTTTTACAATTAATAATTTATTTATTTGATCACCATCTTCGACTACGTCGTACAGACTCATTACTTAAAACCTAATTTAATCTAAACGCCTTATTCTAGCACTAAACACATGTTTGGTCAAAATAAAATCAAACTCGCTACAAACATCATTAAAGGAACGCAAACAAGAATTAAAACAATTATTGAATCCAAAGTTCGTTCTGTGAAATGGAATTGCAAGTAACGGGGAATTACGGAATCGTCGAGGAGGAGTATTCCATGGAATCAGTTCCAGAAGTTCAGGACAGTCCACGTTTCCTGTTATGAGGTCAAAGATAAACAGTCGTTGCAATTTGAGACGCCTGGCAGAGAGGGATTCCAAATCAATCAGCTTGCATCGGTCGGGATAACTTGGAAGATTGACTGGATCATTCCAGGGGAGCTGACGCAATGCAAACCTTATAAAACTTTTCTGAATCCTTTCAACCGCAAGGATATGCGTAACGTAAAATGGAGACCAAACCGGGGAAGCATACACCAATGGTATCTTAAATATCAGACATACATTCTATTTCATCAAACTATTTCCTGCCTTCTCTTGCAATAGTTGCGTTACATAATTTGTGAATAGCTCCGTCCATCAGCTGAATAAGCATTTCGACTTTTACTTTATTAAAGATACCATTGGCTGGTTCGTCTCTGGGAACCCCAGAAGGTGGTTCTCCAAGTTACAGAGTTTACACAATTGGAGGGTGGGGTTCTAGAAGATGGCCCCTTGCGTGTCGAGATGTCCGCAGATCTCCCGCTAAATTACAAATTACCATCATCAACAACATCTTGAAAGTCGTTTCCCTGAAGTTGCATCGTTTTTCGAAATGCTAATCCACGCTGTTATCACGTCGCACTTGACTACACACTTTTGTTTGTTTTATTTCTTCTCCCGCAGATACGCCAATTGTTACACTAAAAATGGGATCATCGTTAAACCCAGACGACATCAAGGAGGGTGATGATATATACTTCGACTGCCACATACAGTCGAATCCGAAACCGTACAAACTGGCGTGGTATCATAACGTAAGTACATAATGCATATAAAATAATATAAAATTACCCTGCACCAGCAACCGCATAAATCAAACAAGAAAGTAAGTGAGCCAAAGGAAATAAGGCGCACCATCAAAGTATGTACCTATAGTGAGAAGAAAGTAAGACATAAAAGCAACGTTATCTTCGAAGTCGTTCTGCAAAGGAAAAAAAAATGCTCGCATGGTATGGCGGGAAATGCTCTCCTATTCCAAGTCGAGTAGGTGAGACTTTAATGCCCACCTCTTGGAAAAGTTGAAGTGGCTTACAGCGTGTGAAGAGCAGCTTTTCTACTCTGGGGCTTTTGTTTTTTGAGTCTGGAATGATTTGGGATATCAAGCGAAGAGTACTAACAGGGTCGGATCTAGTTCTGGATGATTCTCTCCGTGGTTGCACAGTTTTAAAGCTGTTGATAGATTGACTCTGGCTTTTGTTATTTTCTCCACTAAGTCACTATGTACAGAACGGCATCGTATGATCCGTAAATGTTCTTCAAGAAGAGCTTTTGGCAGTTATTGCTTTTATTCCAACAAACGAAGGGTTTTTTTTTGGCAGAGGAAGGCAAAAAAAAGAAAGCTCACGGTTGTTTGATTTCCCATCACCGGAGGATTGATGTAATTGGATCAGTCGTTTGTAAGATATGGTGCTGAGGTAGGCACTTCGGAAATTAGTCTGGTGAATTGTACTATCCACCACTGGTAGAATCAGTAAGGATCATGGGCAATTACACGGTTCGTGAATAGTGAGAGGAAAATGGATCTTTGATAACCTGGGAAACACACAGCTGACATTTCAAGTGGTAAAATGTAATCCGTGGGTTTTGTTTGCCTGTTCTTATGGCGTAATTAGGCAGAGCACTGTATAAGTAGCATTTGATTGCTTTTCAAATTAAATCTTCAAGCGTTTCGTATCATCAACATCGCTAGCAAAACAAAAAGGTCTCGATTTCTCGATTAAGTTGCATATAAATCCCAACAGTATAATTAATAATTGATAATTATACAAATCTTCACACACGTTCGATGCTAATAATAGTTTTAGGTTAAATTAGGTTAGCTTTATTGATATTATTATTTATTAATAAAACTGAAAATATTTATTTAGGGCAATTTCTACTGTCTGTGCAGGTATATTTATACTATGCGAGTTTATTCACTGTATATGAAAATTACAGCGACCGTTGAAAGGAACTTAAAAATCTAGAATTTTATGCTAAAAAGTTCTTTTTTTCTTGCTGATTCACTGAGGAAGGGTGCAAATATCCAGAGGGTGGTAGGTGGGACCTGTCACGAGTGTCTTGCACCTTCTACTTCCTCCTGGAATCCGGTCGAAATTTCTACTCGAGGGTACAGTTCATCATCATCGTCTTGTTCTTTATCACTATCATCCACAAACGCGAATAGCCGCCCTGGCGGTTGCTTCGCCCTGCAATGGAACCTACGAGGACTACGGGCCAACATTAACGAGCTAAAACTCCTCATCGCCGACCATGAGCCCTCCATTGTAGCGCTTCAGGAGGCGAAGGTCAGCCAAAGTGTGTTACAACCAGACTTCGTCGGAAGGAACTATACGCTCCTCTTAGAATCGAACAGCGTACACCACTGGAAACACGGGATAGGCCTTGCTATCCGGGCAGGTATACCTTTCGAGCGCGTGCAAATCGATACAACTTTACAGCTCGTAGCTGCACGCATATATGCTCCGATCCAGATAGCAGTAGTATCCATCTATATTCCACCGAGTGCAGTCCAGGGTAGCTAGGCCGCACTGAATGAGTTATTCGAGCAACTGGAAGGTCCGTTTATGTTTCTAGGCGACTTCAACGCGCACCATCTCGCTTGGGGATCACAAACATCGACCGCCCTCGGCAGATTCATTGTTGAAAAAACTCTGGACAAACAAATAGTGATTATCAATAACGGCTCCCCTACTCGCATCGACCTGGTTACAGGTAATACTTCGGTAATCGACCTGACGTTCTGCTCTGAGTATCTGGCACGTAGGTTTACTTTGCTTACTCTTTCGGACACATTCAACAGCGACCACTTTCGTATAGGTGTCAATTCCCGGGTGGTCGTATTCGCGAACGACGCGACGAAAATGGCTCTACGAACAAGCCAACTGGTCGTTATATGAAAACATCACAGCTGAAAGTATTCGATCAGATGTCGAGTGGGACGTCAACAGTTTCACCGAAATGATCATCAACGCAGCGACTAAGTCCATACCACGAACCAGCAGACGTGTTGGACCAAAAGCGGTACCATGGTGGTGCCCCGAAGTAAAGGCGGCAATTTGACGGTGAAGAAAATGTTTGCGGTCCCTGCAACATTTACGACTTTCCGACCCAGACCAACACGAAGCATTGGCTAGATTCCAGGAAGCCAGAGCAGCGGCACGACAGGCTATCAACCAGGCCAAAACGCAATCGTGGGATAACTTCGTAGCGAAAATCTCACCAACTAGCTCGACCACCGATTTGTGGAGAAGGGTTAACACTCTGCATGGCAATCGACAACAACGCACCGTAGTGCTCAAATGAGCCGATGGATTCACGGACAAACCCGAAGAAGTAGCGGAGGAATTAGCGAAATGCTATAGTGGAAGATCAGCAACCTCTAGCTACTCTTCATATTTCCAGATGGTTAAGACAGCAGCCGAACGAGAATCCAAGAATCACCCTTAACGAACTCCGGCAGCCCTACTTTTGCTCAATAAAACAGATGAAATTATCCTTAATAAGTAAAAAAAATATCCTTAAAATAGATCGGGTTGCTCCTTAAATGATTGATCAAAATACGTTAAAAATCTTAAAATGCTCAGTAAATATTTAAAGTACGCTCCCTAAAATAGAGAAAACTGTACATTAAACATTTGAAAATGCTCCTTAGTATGCACCGCTTTGCACCATTTCGAAGTGTAATTGTACCATATATCATCGGAAAAGCTGCTGTAGAAAGGTTAATGAGTACCATGAAATCAGCTGAAATGTTCAGTAAATCATTGTGTGCATTTGTGCATTTTTACTGAACATTTCAGCTGATTTCATGGTACATGGTACTGCTTCGACAGGTCCCGACTTAATTGGGTATCCGTTACTCCAACGTTTGCCACTATCCGTGAAAATGACGCTTCTTGAGCTTCTAAACAGAATCTGGGACGAGGGTGTGTTTCCCGTTAGATGGCGGAATGCTGTCGTCGTACCCATTCCAAAAGCACACTGCAACGACTCCGGACCTGATGGCTTCCGTCCAATATCGCTAACCAGTTGCATGGCGAAGCTGTTCGACCGGATTCTCAATCGTCGTTTGATCACCAAACTAGAGTCGAGTGGACGACTTGACAAACGTCAGCTCGCTTTTCGTACAGGCCGCGGCACTGATACATATTTTGCCGAGTTGGAAAGATCACTGCCAACCCAAGATGAACACTGCCTGATAGCCTCAAAGGCATACGATACCACCTGGCGACACGGAGTTCTGCGCACACTAAAATCGTGGCGATTACGTGGTCAGATGATGAATATGCTGCAAAGTTTTCTTTCGGAAAGGACGTTACAGGAAAATGGAATACCACAGGGTTCAGTTCTATCAGTGACTCCATTTCTCGTTGCGATGCAGCCTATCTTTCGAGTAATACCGAGAGGAGTCGACACTCTTTTGTACGCGGATGACATTCTCCTTGTCGTACGAGGGGCAAAAAGGGAAGGACTACATCGCAAACTACAAGCCGCCGTCAAAGATGTCGACAAGTGGACGAAAAGCGTTGGATTCAGCATATCAGCAACAAAGTCCGTGCAGTCCGAATGCACGTCGAGAACCTGGGCGTAACATCGTGATAGACCGAGTATCCATCTCGAAGGCAAACCGGTTAAGAGTCCTAGGTATAACCCTCGACCGAACTCTGAGCTTCAAACCTCATTGTCAAATGGTAAAAAAAGCGTGTGAACCTCGGTTACGAATCCTTCGGATGATTGGTGCCAAACTTCCGCGTGACGAACGAAAATCGCTTCTACAGTGACCGCGAAATTGATGTGTGAAATTAGAGTAGTTAGCCGAGGAGGACCGGTAGCCCTGCAGAACCTTGACCCAGCATATAATAAAATGGTACGGTTTGCTTCCGGAGCCTTCAAACCATTGCGCAAATTGCAATTCGGATACTAACAAAGAACAAAGAATCAAAACAGCCTCCTTCTCATTCGACGAGCATCGGATCGCCTCAATGAGCTGACAAACTCAGCGCTCCCCGCTGTCGGTCAACTTGTACGGCAGACCGATCGTCCGTGGCACACACGAAAATCATCAATCCTGTGGGACGTTAAAAAATGCATACGAGCTGGCGATCCGCCCGGTTGTGCAAAAACTACTGCCGACCCGCTTCCACCGATCAACCGTCGTCTACACCGATGGATCCAAACACGACAACACTGTAGGTGCCGCATTCCAGCCTACCGAAGGAATGTAGCGTTTTCTCTGCGGAGGCGTACACCATTAAGATGGCTGTTTCCATCCCGAGCATTTCGAACGAATTAGTCATTCTTGCGGACTCAGCAAGTTGTCTCCAGGCCTTAGAAGCTGGAACAGCTAAGCACCTGTGGATTCAAGAAGTGGAGCAAATAGCACGAAACAGCTCCGTCCGTTTCTGCTGGATACCTGAACACGCCGGCATCCATGGAAACAACGAAGCTGATCGGTTAGCAAACATGGCGAGAACACAACCTCCCATTGATGTACCAATCCCAGGCGATGATGCGCTGAGAATGATGATGCAAAACATTCGCCAACGATGGAACGACCAATGGTTCGCGTCCAGAGACTACAAGCTAAGAGAAGTCAAAGACGATACGCACAAGTGGACGGAACGGGGAAGCACTTTCGACCAGCGTGTGCTAACACGATTAAGAATTGGTCACACGCAGCTAACCCATACGTTCTTATTAAAGAAGGAAGCCCCGTCAGTTGTTGTGGAACGGCTTTAGATGTGCCACACGTGATTCTGCAGTGTAAAAACTACGAGAGTCAACGACAAGAGAACGACATTGACACAACAAGCTTGCGAGATGCGCTAGGAAACTCTGAGGAGCAAACCACCAATTTGCTGAATTTTCTACGGCAAACTGGACTGTACCGAAAAAATTTAAGGATGTAGAGAAAAGAAGAAGAAGCAGCTGAAACCCGGGGCAGATGCAAGAAGGTTAAGCAGTTAACGGAGCATGGAAAGAAGGAAGAATATGAAGAAGAAGCAGCAGCAGAAACCCGCTGTAGAAGCAAGAAGGTTAAGCAGTTAACGGAGCGTGAAAGGAATGTGAAGACGATGGAGCAGCCAAAACACGAGGTAGAGGAATAAAAGTTATGCAGTTAACGGAGCAATGAAGGAAGGAAGAATGTGAGGAAGGAAAGCATGTAACTGGATGAAGATCAAAGAAGATGAACTAAGCTGAACAAAATTGATACGGTCATTTAAAGAAGGTGAAGGTCATCAAGAACACAAAGCGGATAGCGGATGGAAGAACTGTAAAATTGGAGAAATCGTGAAGACGTGGAAGAGGAAATCAAAGCAATGGAAATAAAGAAGGACGAAGAAAGAAGATGATGAAGAAGTAAAGAAAATAATTTGAAGTTTGGTGAGAAGAAAGAAGAAGATAGATTAAAAGTGAATGAAGAAGTTTACCAACAAGCAACAAATTATCAGAAGGGAAGAAAATGACGCAACCGCTGCTGCAAGATGAAGGAGACCCGTCAACAAAATATCAATAATCATATTCATTAATTCATTGTGCGTTCACTTAACAATGAATTTATGAATATGACATTAAAATGTCAATAATATTTAAAAAAAAAACTAAGGTATATGTAGTTCAGAGAAAGTGAAAGAATGAAACTATGAGTGTGTGACGTAAATAAAATCACAATTTCCACTATTTTTGTAATATATAAGTAAGTTAAAACAGATTGATTTCATCTTACCTTCTTATCAAAATATATAGTAGAATACTACATAGTTGATTTTTAAACTGCATGCTGAAAGAGTACTGGCTTTGGATATATTTTGTTTAAAAATAAAAATCCATGGTTTTTATGGTGAAATGACAACTCCAAGTAACCTTTTCAACGACATACAATCATAACCCGATACTTCATTTTGAAAAAGTGTCGAGTTCATTTTAAGTGTGGTGCACGAAGAAATAATAAATACAAGCCTTGTATGGATGACATAAGCTGTTCTCTACAATTTCAGCGTACCGGTCAAACCCCTGCTCTCTCACTGAAATTATTTCTTTGGTTTTATTTCCACTGTTGACACATTTGATTAAGTTTCATCAATCCACAATTCAATATAAAACAATCTGTTATTTCATCATCCAATGCTAAAAACAAATCTCAACGTTTCTTTCCATTTCATTTGCAGGGAAATGAATTACACCACAATGTCACAGCAGGCATCATCTTGTCGGATCACTCGTTGGCTTTACAAGGCGTCTCGCGAAACCTGGCCGGTGATTATACTTGCATGGCTGCCAACACTGAGGGGCGGGGAACCAGCAAGGAAGTTGAGTTGCGTGTCCGCTGTAAGTAGATTGCTATTTATTAAAAATGTGATGTTTCATACCGCTTATATTTAAAGTTTCTCCGTAAGTAACGAGAAAATGATGAACGCGCAAAAAAAAAAAAAACATCAGCCTAAATCATTAAAAAAATGCTATAATTATTAAAATGTGCAGAGACAGTTCTGTTCATGTTTTCTTAGTAAGAGGATTGTAGCTAAAGTATTGAATTAAAGCAATCCACTATGGGCAAAAATGGGTCCAAAATTACCCAAAATTCAATATCTCAACAGCACGCTTAATTCCGGCCATGAAAAACAACTTTTCCGAAGAGAAATCGTCCGGGGAATCGATTGCACGTGGTTCCATAGACCGGAGAGCATTGTAGATATGTGTTTTGGGCCATTTTACCCCATTTTCCCTTACTTTTTGGAGGAAATGTTTTTTCACAGCTCTATTTTTCGTAAAACATAAGCACTTTATGCATGGTTTTAGAATACTATGTCTTTAAACAACAGTTCATGAGATATTAGGGGAATACGGGGTACAATTTATAGGGGAGTAAGGGGTAAAAGTGAACCCTCGCTAAATTTATTTTAATTCATAAAAATGTTGAACGATGCGATTGTTTGAATGACCTCAAAGGTTGCTTGCAATAATAAGATTTTTTTTTTTCGAAATTTTAAGGTTAATTGGGGTTAAATAAGTTTTAATTACTGCTATCTGTTTTAAAAGAGTTTTCACTTTTTGTGTCTGTATACAGCAAAACGATATAGTGGTTCTCAGAATTTTGTAAAAATTGGTAGTTTTGTTCCTTATCGCAACATATTAGACCCGTATTTTTTTATTTTGTCATTAGGGTGACTATCTATATATTAGGGCGGTAAAAAAAAAAAAAAATTCGATTTTTTTCAAAAATTTATAACTTTTGAACTGTTTGGCCGATGACGAAACTCAAAATACCAAATGAAAGTTAATTAAAAGAATTTTTCAGAAAACAATATTATGATATTAAAAAAAATAGGATTTTGTATTAAAAAACATTGATTGTATTTTCACTTTTACCCTTTACTCCCCTATAAAGTGTACCCCGTATTCCCCTAATATCTCATGAACTGTTGTTTGAAGACATAGTATTCTAAAACCATGCATAAAGTGCTTATGTTTTATGAAAAATAGAGCTGTAAAAAAACATTTCCTCCAAACAGTAGGGGAAAATGGGGTAAAATGGTCCAAAACACATACCTACAAGGCTCTCCGGTCCATGGGATCACGTGCAATCGATTCCCCGGACGATTTCCCTTCGGAAAAGTCGTTTTGCATGGCCGGAATTCAGCGTGCTGTTTAGATATTGAATTTTGGGTCATTTTGGACCCATTTTTGCCCATAGTGCAATCCCTCGAAAAACGCGTTACCTACTGTGTTCGACCCAAGGTTTTTTAGTCGGCGAGTTTTCAACCAATCGCTCGTGAATAATCCGATAATAACTATAAGGCTGGTAGGGTAGACTACCCCATTTCCGGCATATTAGGCAAAACCCGTACTCAGTTTATGTTAATCTAGCGCAGTTTAGCACCAAACGGAATGTTATTAAATTATTTCTTACCGTAAGATATGATAAAGAGAAACAAATTGTTGAGATATTGACGCCAAACTCGGACTACGGTTTTTAAAGCCGGCCTAACGCATTGAAACGCCAATGAATTCAATTCGGCCTATCAGATGAAGATAAAAATTGATTCGATCGGAGCGCTTAATTTGTTTTTGGGAATATTGGGTGCAAACATTCATTTCACGCGTTCTTATTGACTCCGTTCGGTAGCAATTGAACTAAAGTATCGTACCAAGAGCATAATTTACCTGTTAGCGCCGAAATCATGGATTTATTTGATGTTTTCTGCTTGATAGGTCCAAAATGGGCAACAGTTTTATGAAACAATTGAGGAAATTCAAGATTATTTGAAATTTATTATTCTTGAAAGATGGCAACAACGTAGCGGACGAGCCCAGCGTTGTGGTAAGCATTTGTACTTCTCATGCTAAAGATCACAAAATGTCTTCCCCGAAAATGATACGAGTGACTTAAAATGGTTAAAATAACTATAACACTGTGCGACAAGCAGGAATTTTGACGTGACTGCTTTCTCACTAGAGGTACGTAAATAAAAAAATGGAGGAATTGTGTACAAGACACGACCGCATGGTTGACGTAGACTACGTTAAGCTGTGTAGTGAAATTCTCGTGCATTTTTCTAGATATTGTACAGTAGAAGTAACCTATGATTTCGGTCCTATGTACATATTTTGGATGTCCTACTTAGTAAAAACTTGGTTGAATTCAGGACCTCATAAAAATGCGGATACATATTCTATTACATTTGGTTCCTAAATTATAATCAGATATGAGAAAGGTTGCGGCCAGGGTAGACGCGATTCGCAATGCGACGCGACCAATCCAAAGGAATCTTATTATTTATTATTATTTCTTGCGTGAGTCGCATCGCGTCGCGTTGCGTGTCGCGTCTACCCTGGCCGCCACCTAAGGCTTTCTTCTGGTGACTCATTGAAGCATCCAACAATGACCGCCGTGATGGCAGATATTCGCTATCACTTCAAGATTTTTAGGGCACAAATCTTGGACGGTTGTGACATCATTCATGAAATTGAAAATCCTTGTGTACTGCACTGCAGCAAACGTGAAGTTCAAGTTTCTCTGTTATAAGTTTCGTGAGAGCTGATATTTGCGCTCTTGAAATGTTTATGTGGTTCTGAGATTGATCAGAAATAAGGTTTCCTCAGCGATTCAACTTCAAAACGCTAAAAAAAAGAATGCACACACAAAAACGGAGTGCACGATTTTGCACCAATGTTAGGCATTATTTCGTAGTTTGTTGATCGGGATGATCTCGATTAGGCATAAATACCTACAATTAGTTCTCGGTACATCTTTTATCTACCGATTGAGCAAAACAAAATACTAAATATATACATGTATAATTTGTCATAAGAACACGGGACGTTTCTGTGGTGGGAAAAAGGTGGCTTCCATATCTATCACAGATTACAAATTCGACAGTGAGCATACATAAGGACGTAACCATGAACGATTTTCTCTTTTGTTAATAACTCGCTTGGATTAACATTTCTCGGTGCGTTTGCTGTTGCTTTAGATAACCAATACAACCTGTAACAGCTCAATGAACAAACTTCAGATAATATTCAAGCTGAACATTGCATAAGGTCCTAAGTAGCATTGATCGATTCTCTTCGTCGACTTTCTCTTCCGTTAATAACTTGAGCACATAACCATTCTTGTGTTTGTCAAATTAGATGCTTGATAAAAACTTCTTTTATCGATATGAGTGCTGAAAATACCTGGGCCGAATGGATTCAAGGAAAAAGTCGACGAAAAGAATCTTGTCAATGTTACTTAGGACATAATGCAATATTCAGCTTGAATTGTTTCGCTTAACTATAGCAATGTAGACAAAATCGATGAAGAGAATCGACTATTACAAGTAGGCCCTTTTGAACGCTCAATGCCGAATTTCAGTACCTATCACTGAAAAAAAAATTCGACGGTACTGCTAAGAGATAAGCATTGTAAGTCCCTCCTATTTGGAAAATTATGCAATCGAACGGCTTGCTATGCCTCGCCCAAAAAATCTGGGATTTTATAACCCGTTCTATGGCATAATTTTCCAAGTAGGATGGACTTTCATAGCTAATCTAAAAGCATAAATAAAGGTACCGTCTGATAATTTCAGTGCTTGGTTCAGGAGTCTGTAATCTGTGTAGGGAAATCCTTTTTTTTTCACCACAGAAACACCCCGTTTTCTTATGCAAAATAATGGATGTGCGTTCATAAAACGCACGAAATCTTAAAAACCTTATTTAGTATTTTTTTTATTCAATCAATAGATTAAAGATGTACCGAGAATTAAATCGAGGGATTTCAAGCTAAAATGTTCTGATCGCGAGATATTGACGATCAATACCGAAATTTCGCCTAAATTTTCAATCCGTTTTGTATGGTATGTGCTGCTGATTTTCATTGTTGCCCAATGATTGAGGAACTTTCATAAATAACGTAGTAGTTGAAGGAGGAGAGGGGTTTCAGAAGTTGGGACCGGTGTATTGAAAAACACGCTCCAAGGGGGAAGGGGGGTTAATTGGTCAAAAAATATACGTAATTTATGGATAGAAATAATTTTACTTCCAAGACTGTGTCGCAATGGGCGAGTTAAATTTAACTCGTGGTTAAAAGTGGCAGATGAGTAATCGAATAACCCTGCTATACGAGCATGGTTATTTCGCACCGACTAGAAGTTAAATTTTGGTAACCGTGGCTGAGTTCTGTTTGAAAACTGATCAATTTCCGCCATTTTCGAACATTGAAAATAACTTTCGGAATGTCACATGCAAAAAAGCATATATATTCAATGTGTTGGAGATTTCGGCGCCGGTGGTGCGTGATTGCCTCTCACCCCAGCAGGCCTGGGTTCAATCCCAGTCGGCGCTGCAGGGATTTTCTGAGGCACAACATCTCTGATTACGCCTTCCTTCGGAAGGGAAGTAAAGCCCCCGGTTCATGAGTTGATGGATCGATAGGTAGGGTCCAGGTGTGGTAGCTGCCTCCTCACAGAAAAAAAAAATCGACGAAAAACAAACCAAAGGAAAAAATGAGTTGGAGATGTTGAGTTGACGCAGGTATGTTTACCGAACCCCGACCCGGACCTTTACACGATGGGTTCGGTTCGGATACACTAAACCAAGAAATGTAAGATTCTATTGCAGATTTGCATAAAAAGTATTCAGAATTTGCAATATTTCACAACATGAACAGTTTTTTGTTGTCGACAGAATAAAAACCTTCTAATAATTTTGTAATTTTTATGTTAGCTTATTTTTTTAAACATAGTTTGTTTCCCCAAGCGTATCTATAAAATAATCTCGTAAAGGTTGTTTGTAGAAATATGTACTCTGGAAAAAAAAACTTTCCTGTGCGCTGCAGTCGATTACAA